AAAACCGGGTGGGGGGCGCGGTATGTGAAAGACCACTCCCCTGCATAGCAAATTTTGGTCATAATTTGAAACTGCCATATTAGTGGAATGCCATAAGGCAAAACACTGTAAAGCGGGGTCCTACTGTATAGAAGTGTGCACATAATTTACAAATATATTACAATAAACAATGAAAATAAAGAAGTTGAAAGTACAATTTAATCAATGAATTTTGCCCATAATTTTAAAAGTCTGTTATATAAAGGTGCCCTGTATCAAGGGTTTATTGTATTTCAGTAAATGATGTGCAGTTTTCTTTGTAAAATAAACATGTCCAGTATATCTGTTACTGTTGATATCTTAGCAGAAATAGATTTACAAAAAAGTCTCATTCAACCTTTCTTTTCCAGTTAGTGTTTACAGTGTCAGTACTGTAGTAAACTTACAATGCTGACATCCAGTTAAGAAAATGGGAGAAGTACTGAGATCAACTAATGTCAGCACCAAGTTTAATAAAGCATACTACACTGTCTGAAGGACTGAGTACAACTGTCAGCAGCAAGATTAATAAACATACTACACGGAAGCACTGAGTACAACTACTGTCAGCACCTCTTCAGTATTATTGACAATTATTTGTTCCAGTTGTCAGTATTTGACTGAACTGTTTAGAAAATCTAGTTTCTAACTTTTCTGTGGAATTAAGGTAACAAAATGGGGTTCAGTGTACACATTATATCTCACATTTAATAATGTGAAAGACAATATTAAAAAATCCTAATTCAAGACTGTTTTAAATAATTATTTCTATATTCTTACCTTGAAACTATTATGTTAGTCCTAGTCTTACCCCTATTGTGAAAATATTGGCTGTAACCATGTCCCTACTACGAAAATATTAGACATAGTTTCACCCCCTATTATGAAAATAAGTCTTACCTCTGTTATTAAAATTATAGTCATTATCTTAACATTAACTGCTTTCAAAAACCTGAGTATTTGTTATTTTATTTTATATCTTTGAAATATTCCTTGCATATCATTATTCTGACAATTTTGATTTTTTCACTGTAAAATGTAAGTGAATATAGTATATGAATCAAGTCTTCATTGGAGACTGCATTAAATGAGAGGCAATAGAAAGAGAGAATACAAAATGTGCACTTCAGTAAGTCTATTGTTATTTGAAGAACAGCAAATCTTCTGTTATGTGAAGTAGTGAATAACATTCAATGAATTACTGATTTATTTAGTGTTAAAACTTGAAATAAAATAAAGTCAACATGAAGGTAGTAGGAAAACAACATCAGTGTTCTGTTTGTGAAAAAGTTTTTCCAACTAATTATAAACTCATGAGACATAACAGTACTCATACGGGAGAGAAGCCATATAAGTGTTCAGTGTGTCTGAAAGGTTTTGTTGGTAAATACTTATTAAAACAACATGAGAGAGTTCATACAGGAGAGAAGCCATATCAGTGTTCAGTGTGTCAGAAAGACTTTAGAAATAAATACTCGCTAAATAAACACAAGAGAATTCATACAGGAGAGAGGCCATACCAGTGTTCAGTGTGTCAGAAAGACTTTATGAATAAATATACTTTAAAACAGCATGAGAAAATTCATACAGGAGAGAAGCCATATCACTGTTCAGTGTGTCTGAAAGATTTTATTGATAAATCCTCACTAAATAAACATCAGAGAATTCATACAGGAGAGAAGCCTTATCAGTGTTCAGTGTGTTTGAAAGATTTCAGTGATAAATCTTCACTAAATAAACATCAGAGAATTCATACAGGAGAGAAGCCATATCAGTGTTCAATGTGTCAGAAAAACTTCAGTCACAAAACCTCACTAAATAATCATGAAAGAATTCATACAGAAAAGAAGCAATATCAGTGCCCTGAATGTCCCAAAAACTTCTTAAAAAAATCCTCACTATATGAACATCAGAGAGTTCATGAAGGAGAGAAATCATATCATTGTTCAGTGTGTCTGAAAGACTTTATTAATGAATCCTTACTCAAACAGCATGAGAGCATTCATACAGGAGAGAAACCCTATCAGTGTTCTGTGTGTTATAAAGACTTTACAAGCTGGGATCACCTGAATTCACATATGAAACTACATATTGGAGAGAAGCCATATCAGTGTGAAGTTTGTACAAAATTATTTGCAGGAAAAAGTTCTCTGGCAAAACATATGCGCTATCATACTGGAGAGAAGCCATTTCAGTGTTTAATGTGCCATAAAGCTTTTATAGAAAGTGGTCACCTCATTACACACATGAGAATTCATACTGGAGAGAAGCCATTCAAGTGCTCATTGTGTACAAAACGGTTTTCAGAAAAATCTTCTTTAGTGAAACACATGAGGATTCATACAGTAGGAAAAATACACGAGTGTTTTGAGTGTCATAAAATATTTTCTAGTAACTCTCTTTTAGTTCAGCACATGACACTTCATAAAGATGATAAACCATACAAGTGTTCAGTGTGTCAGGAAAGTTTCTCAACAGAAGAAAGTTTAGAAGAACATTTTAAAGTTCATATAGGGGAAAACACATACAAGTGTTCAGTGTCCGGAAAACTTCTCAACGAAGAAATTTAAAAAACATTTTAAGTTCATAAAAGGGGAAAAACACCAACAAGTGTTCGGTGTCAGGAAATTTTCCAAACAAAGAAGTTTAGAAGAACTTTTTAAAGTTCATATAAGGGAAACACATACAAAGGTGTTCAGAGTGTCAGGAAAAAATTCTCAACAGAAAAATTTAGAAGAACATTTAAAAGTTCATAAAAGGGGAAACACCATAAAAGTGTTCAGGGCCCGGGAAAACTTCTCAAAGAAGAAATTTAAAAGAACTTTTAAAGTTCTATAAGGGAAAAATACAAGTGTTCAGTGTGTCAGGAAACTTTTAAAAGTGAAACAATTTTATTATTGCAAAAATTTATTCAGAGGGGGAAAAACATTCACTTTTTCAGGGTGCCCACAAAGTTTTCACAAAAATTAGAATTTGAAAATCACTTAAAAGATCACAAACCCACAACAAGATTCAAGTTCAAGGTGTTGGAAAGTTTTTTTATAAAATGACCTAGTAAATCATATGATACTATATATGGAGAGGGATAAAGAATTTTAAAAAATCTGTTTTTAAAAAACCTATGACTTGGTCATTAGGAAAACTCAAGTGAAACGTACTATTTTTTTCATAATTGGGAATTTTTGTCAGTAAAATAACCAAAAACACTTAAAATATAATTTAGTTTTTTCCCTATCTGCTAGTGCCTTAAAAAATAAAAGGTAATTTATTTTTTTTTTAGTGTCTTTCCCTTAATGAGCCCCTTTTGTATTCAGGGTTTCAGATAAAAATTAATTTTCTAACTAAATTTTAACTATGGTACATATTCTGGTTAGCGCTTCTTTTTGATTATAATAAAAAATAAGGTAATATTTGCTCACTCGATGTTTCATTGTCTCCCCTGAAAGTTATTTTGCCAAATTTTTTTAAATGTTTTCTGCGGGATAGGGAAGATTGAGAACTGAAAAAGTGTTTGGGAAAGTTTTGGGCACAGTGCACTGTTTACCTCCCCGTGGAAGCATTTCTCTCATTTTTGCCTATTTTTTAATTATTTGTGAAATTTAATTTTCTAAACCATGGATCCTGAAAGTAACATAAAAATTTATAGATAAACAGCCGGGTGGTGGTGGGTTGTTTGGGAGACGTATAGCGTAGTAGCATGAGCCATTTTCCCACCTCCCCTCCCTTCCACCTCCCCCTCCACCTCCCCCCTCCACCCACCCTCCACCCCCACCCTCCACCTCCCCAGCATCTAACCTTTAAACCCCAGGTTTTTTCTTTACATGCTTTATGTTTTATTTTTTTATACAAATTTCTTATTTAAAACACATTGTTTCAGTTTTTCCTTATGAAACAGTGATCTAGTCGTTAGCCTCCAAACACTAGTTTTGTCTTAAAAAAAGAGCGGGAAAATACTAGTTGAGCGGGAATTGGCCCCTGCCGCCCCCCCCCAAAAGTCACAAGAATATTTTTTTATTCTAGGTTATATCATGTTTTACATTAATTTTACAGAAATAGAGTGATTTTTATTTGGGTTTTTGCCTGGAATGGCTTGAAAAATGAGCTCAAAATAGCGGAAATGTTAAATTTTTTTTCGATGTTCAAGAGTAAACAAATTCCTCACTTTTCTAATACACGCCAGTGGGGGTCAATATACATTCATTTAAAAGGGGATGAATTTATCAATTATTTCAATATTTCATAGCAGTAAATCTTCATTTTTTTGGTTTTAATAAAAATTATTTTGTAATAAAAAACAAAATGGAATTCATTGTAAAGCCTGAAAACGTAAATAATGAACAAGGGAAATGTTAGTTTAGTGCCAAGAATACCTACATTGCTTATTCTGGACCCTATTTTGAAATTTGAATATTTTGAACTTTGTATTAAATTGGCCAAATTACCAATTTCCGATCACTTTATTTTGTAGTTGAAACAGTTGACTGGGCAATTTATTGTGCTCAATCAATAGAATAGAAGTAATACTAGTGAAATAGCTAAGAACTTGGCCGACTGGAATAATGTAATTGGCCAAAAATGGGAGCCAAAGTCGGCAAAATTGCCGATTCGTAAATATCGCTGACACAACAAAATTCGCGAGAGCATAATTTCGTCAAATTTAGTACTTTTTGTTTTATTACCTTCAGAAAAAGATTCTCTACCATTTCATAAGAAAAAAATAAATTTTTTTTTTTTTTTAAATTCTTGGACCCTGGTGCACACTTTGAAATTTGGCCTCTGGACCCTGAAAGGGTTAAGGCCTCAGGTTATCTCTTGTCTAATATCTTTATTTTCTTCATTAATTTTAAGACTTTAACGCTTATACCTTTTCTTGGCACTTTCAGCAACACTGGTATGCCTACTGGGAGTCATAATTTCTTGGCAGATACAAGATATGGCAATTAAAAGATCAAAATACAGTTCACAAACACAGCTAGCTCCTAAAGCAATGGAATTGAATACGTATTCTCGAAGGCTGGGATGGGGGTGGTGGGAGCGTCTGGGGTGGCAGGAGATGGTGGTAGGTCTTCCCTGCTGACCCACAGCAATGGGGCAGCTTGGCTGATGGTAAAGAACCCGTGTCTCCCATTTTTTGAGAGCACTGCGTCAAATTAAATCCCAGCCCATCAGTCCAGTCATCCAGTCATCCAGTCAGTCCGTCAGTCGTCATCAATCATCAAGTCATAAGTCATAAAGTCAGTGTCAAAGCAGTCAAGTCAGCAAGTCAGTCAAGTCAGTAAAAGTCACAGCAGTCGTCAGTCATCGAACCTTAAAAAACTGGGGGACCAAAGCCCATATGCCCCTTTCGTCATTTATTCTATCTAGGCGGAATATTGCTGACACTAACAGCACCTTTAAAGGCAGGTGAAATTCCCGACCTAGAAAAGTACAAAAACCCTTCCGGGCGGTATAAGGGATAAACCCCCTCAATTACGGGAGGCTTGAAGTTCCAAACCTGTTTTCCCCGGGAAGCAGGTGGGAGAGATACTGATTATATACACCGGGAAAATCCTAGGGGACTGTAGCAAACTTGCCCAAAAAACACTCGCAACGAAAGAAAAAGATTTTGGCCCAAAACGATGCAACCCCCCCCCATAAAAAAGAGGGGTGTCACTGCACTTTAAAAGAGACCATAAAAATAAGTGTCAGGGACCCAAACGTTCGCTCCCTCCCAGATCATAAGGGGGATTACCAAAAAAACCCTGAAGTTTTCAAACAGGCACTGGACAAGCACCAAAAAGTCGGTACCTGACCAGCTGGGCGTGGCCGTAATTGGTTTGCGTGCGGCCAGCAGTAACAGGCTGGTTGATCAAGCTCTGATCCACCAGGAGGCCTGGTCACAGACCGGGCCGTGGGGGCGTTGAACCCGGAAAATCTTCCCGGTAAAACCCCCGTAAAAGTAAGTAATCAGTAAAAGTCAGTCGTTATCACACAAAAATTGTATTTTACCTCATTATTTTTGAGATTGTACAAACTGACTCATCATTAAGGCCACAGGCTATCTCTTGTCTAATATCTCGATTTTCTTCGTTAACTGTAAGACTTAAACGCTTATACGTTTTCTTGCCACTTTCAGCACCACTCGAATGCCTACTGGGTGCATGGTTGCTTGGCCGTACAAGATATGGCAATTTTAAAAAAGGAAAAAAAATTTCTGTCCCAAGACAGAATAAAGTGGGCATTATTCACATAAGCTGTGATGGGGGTGGCGGGAGTGTTGGGGTAGCAGGGGATGGTGGGAGGTCTCTCCTGCTGACCCAAAACAGGCAGCAGCTTGAGCTGGGGAAATTTTTTTTTTGTGCCTGCAAACGGAACCGGTTAAGTAAATTTTTGAAGTGTTGTTAAAAAATTTTTGGGTGCAATTTTTCAATAGGCAATAACCAAAACATTAAAAAAAATCTGTGTAATATAACAATTACTGTATATATATATATATATATATAATAATAATATATATTATATTTATATATATATATATATATTATATAATTAATACATATGTACCATATAAATATTATAAATTTTTAATATATATATATATATTAAAATTTTTATAATATATAATATATAATTTATATATATAAATACAAATAATTAAATAATATATATATTATATTAAAAAAATATATATACATTATATTTTCATATATTATAAACATATATACATTATTTATATTATATATATTT